ATCAACCTGAGCTCTGAGAACTGTTCAAAAGAGGTAAGGGAGGAGGCCAGAATATATGTGATTTTGATGAAGGGTTACATGCAGTCAAGCACACATCCTGGGAGAAGCCTACTACTGTTCATGAGGAACAGATATCTTAGTTAATGGTTTTAGTGCTTTTCTAAGTATGGGAAGATACAGGAAACTGGGTTCTTAAAAATTTCTCCTGAAAATATCTGAGGGCCATTTCTGTCAGTTTTCCTAGAGCACAAAGTGCCTCATCCTGATCTTTGCTCTTTAAGGGTGGGTTGTAGGTCAGTGCCTGTAGTGGCTAATGACAATTCTTGTAGAACTGGCTGGTGGGCAACATTCTTTATTTTACAATCTCCTCCCTTTCAGTCTTAATTTCAACCAAGTTTTGGGAGGCATTTTGTGACCAGTTTGTCCCATGGAACTAGGAATGCTCATTCTCAGGTCAGGATTTCATTGATAGGCCACTTAATGTACTATTACTGGACTAGGCCCTGTTTAGAGTAGTCAAAAGCCTCTGGACCACCTGTCTTACAGTCTGTCATGGTCAAGGAAATGGTTCCCTCTTGTTGCTTCTTCCCATATGTAGAGTTACACTATTACAATCATTGATCTTATAGAACTATATATAAGGTCAATTGTTTCAAGTTGCTTAATCGTCATTAATTTGATCTGAGGCTCAATCACACATTTGGTAATGCAAGAAACATTAATCTTGTAAACGTAGAATACAAGTAATTCAGCTAGTTACATTAATAAAGTCATAAATAAATATTTAAGCTAAGAACTTCCATTAGGTGCAACCCAGTATCTCCCCAAGATATCTGCGTCCTGACCCCTTACAGGATTGAGAAAGGAATGTTATTGTCTCAGGAATTTCATGACTGGCTTCAGAAGGGGAAAAATTGGTATTTATGGTTGAGCAGGTATTTCTGCCACTAGGGAGGGCTGGTTAATGCATAAAGCAGATACACAATGCACACTAGAGGGGAGGGAGGAGGCCCAAACAGAATTTTTTTTTTTTTTTGCCAAGTTGTGAAGCTTGTGGGATCTTAGTTCCCTGACCAGGGACTGAACCCGGGCCCTCGGCAGTGAAAGCGCAGAGTCTAAACACTGGACGGCCAAGGAATTCCCAGAATTTTTCTTGTCTCAAAATGTGAATTTTTACTTCATCAGTATCATATTGAATATATTTTTTCCCCGAATTTTATTATGAAAATTTGTGAACATAAAAAAAACTTGAAAGAACTCTATAGTAAGCAGCTATATATTAATACCACTTTCATTCTTTTTTTTTTTTTTTTTGGCCATGCCATGTGGCATGTGGGATCTTAATTCCCCGACCAGGGATGGAAATCGCACCCCTTGCAGTGGAAGCATGGAGTCTTTCAAAATTTTTTAAATTATTGTTTTAAATAACAACAATTTATTTAGTTTTTAAAATAAATTTATTTATTTATTTTTGGCTGTGCTGGGTCTTTGTAGCTGCGCGAGGGCTTTCTCTAGTTGCGGTGAGTGGTGGCTACTCTTCCTTGCGGTGTGAGGGCTTCTCATTGCGGTGGCTTCTCTTGTGGAGCATGGGCTCTAAGCCTGAGGGCTTCAGTAGTTGTGGCTCTTGGGCTTAGTTGCTCCGTGTCATGTGTGATCTTCCTGGACCAGGGATCAAACCTGTGTCCTCTGCATTGGCAGGCGGATTCTTAACCATTGGACCACCAAGGAAGTCCAAAAGGCAGAGTCTTAACCACCGGACCTTCAGTGAAATCTCACCACTTTCATTCTTAACATTTTGCTATATTTGCTTTATCAGATATCTATCTAGCCATCAACTAATCTTATTTTTTAATGTTTTTTCTAGTGAGCTGCAGACATCAGTACTCTTTTTTTTTTTGCGGTACGCAGGCCTCTCACTGTTGTGGCCTCTCCCGTTGCGGAGCACAGGCTCTAGACGCGCAGGCTCAGCGGCCATGGCTCACGGGCCCAGCTGCTCCGCGGCATGTGGGATCTTCCCGGACCGGGGCACGAACCCGTGTCCCCTGCATCGGCAGGCGGACTCCCAACCACTGCGCCACCAGGGAAGCCCCATCAGTACTCTTTACTCTTTAACATTTCAGCACACACATTGTTTAGAGTTCAATATTTGTTTTTAAGATTAAATTTACATACTATCAAATGTATTTTAAAAAATTTTTATTGGAGTATAGTTGATTTACAATGTTGTTTGTTTCAGGTGTACTGTAAAGTGAATCAGTTACACATATACATATAACCACTCTTTTATTAGATTATTTTCCCATATAGGTCATTACAGAGTATTGAGTAGAGTTCCCTGTGCTATACAGTAGGTCCTTATTAGTTACCTATTTTATATATAATAGTGTGTATATGTCAATCTCAATCTCCCAATTTAACCCCCCCCTCCAGCCTTTTCCCTCCTGGTAACGGTAAGTTTGTTTTCTACATCTGTGACTCTCTTTTGTAAATCAGTTCATTTGTACCATTTTTTTAAAAATTCCACATGTAAGAGATATCATATATTTGTCTTTCTCTGTCTGCCTTACTTCACTCAGTATGACAATCTCTAGGTTCGAATGTATTTTTGTATTTTCCTACAACTTGCTTTTCCCCCCTCTACTTGATGTCCGCCCTTCCTTTTTTTTTTTTGCGGAATCCTAGTTCTCCGACCAGGGATGAAAGCGGCGAGTCCTAACTACTGGACCGCCAGGGAATTCCCTGCCCTTCCTTTTTATTCGGCACAACTCTGTTGAATAGATGTGCCCCTGTCAACCCCAACCCCATCGTCTTTTGATAGACGTTAAGGTTGTTTCAAGGTTTTCACCGAAATGCTGTTGCAATGACCTTCCTTGTTTGTGTCTCTTGGGGTTCTTGTGTTTCTCTAGAACAGCTACCCAAAAGTGGAAGTACTGGATCAAAGAGAATGCCTATTCTGAATTTTAACAGATCTTTTGCCAAACTGTCCCCCCTTTCCCAATAACTCCCGCAAATACCGCTCATTCCCCTCACATTTGCCAGTACCGTACAATACCAGCCTTTTAATTTGCAGCCAGTCGCGTGGTTAAGGAAATGACGGGAAACCAGTGTGGCTGAAACAGAAGGGACAGGTGGAGCCCAGTGTTAGATGAGCCCGAAGCAGATGTGACAAAGGGCAAGAAAAGCGCGTAGCCCCGAGACGTCCTCATAAACACCCCCTCTAATGAATGGATCATTCAGTCGCAAGCACTTTCGACTTCCGCAGCCGACTAGCGTTCTGGGATTGCAGCCACTTGCCCGCCGCAGGGGTGTGTCCTCCGCAGGCCCCGCCTCCTCTGCGTGCGCACGTCGGGCGGCCTGCTTGGCTGCGGCGGCTGCGGCGGCCGCGGCGCTGAGCTAGACGCTGAGTGACGCGCGGACTCGGCGCTGACGGGCGGCAGACCTGACCCGCGGCCGGTGAGTGTCCGCGCCCTGCCGCCCCTCCCTCGGGGCTCCCCCGCGGGCCTGGCCCGCCCGGGCCCTCGGGAGCTGGGCTCGGTCGGCCATGGCCCGCTGCGCCCCAGCGCCCGCTTGAGGGAGCCCTGGCGGGCCAGGGGCGGGGGGCGGCCCAGGGGCGGGGGGCGGCCCGGAGGGGGCGAGCGCGGCGAGCGGGGTGGGGGCCGAGCGGGGGGACCCCGCTTCCTAGACGGCGTTTCAGAGGCCCGGGGAGGCCTAAGCCGCGAGTTCGCGTAGTTGTGTCCCGGGGGAGGTGACCCCCTGGTCGCCGCGGGCGGACTTGGCGTTCCCGCGGGGCCTGCAGCCTCTGGCCACCCAGCCCGCACGTCTGTCCACCTTGGGCCGGCGAGGACCCAGACCTGGCCCGGCGGCGGAGAGCCGTGCCTGGGCTGTTGGCGTGGGCCGGGGCTCTGCCCTTCCTGCTCTTGACTCACCTCGGTCCGTAGGGCCCTTTGAGTCACTGTCTTGACTGACGGAGTGACCCGCGGCTGCCAGATTGCGAGGGACCAACGTCAGGGGCAACCGGTTAGTCTGGCAGGGAGTCTGCTTGTCACCTCATAAGCGCAGTGCCTTAGGTGTATTAATTGTCTCGTAAAAGCTGCCAGGACCGCCTTGCACAGTCTTTGCACAAGGCCTGTGTCATGTCATTTAAATGATTTCTGATGAACTGGTTGCTGTGGCCTGTGGCTGTTCATCCTATTGTCTTGTATTTATGGCTCTGTGAACCACACAAGGCGGAGCATGATTGAAAAAATACAAACATCCTATGGTGCTCTACAGTTCAGGAAGCCCTCTCACTCTCAGCCCCTAACAAAACCCTGTGAGTTGATAGTTTTCCCACAGGTGAAATGGGTTTAATGATGACTCTTGAGTTAAGAGATTTAACCTGCATCCCACAATCAAGAAGATGGCACAGATGGCCTTGTACTTGGTGGTCTGCTCCCAGATCCCATGCTTTTTCCTAAACAGAGCCATGGAGATTGGAAATGGATGTTATTTAAACTAGACATTTTTCCCTCTCCCCCTAAACTGCCCTCCCAAGCAGAAGGAAACAGGGAGCTTACTGGTTTTGTGTATTTGAATTTCTGTTAGGCATTAACCAGGTGTTTTGATTAAAATTTTAACTGTCATATTAAAATTTTTAGGTTTTCTTTTGCGAGGAGGAGGATAAGGAATATAAATGAGTAAATCTGTGCTTTTAAAAAAATTATTATTTTATATTTATTTATTTATTGGCTGCTTTGGGTCTTCGTTGCTGTGCGCGGGCTTTCTCTAGTTGCGGCGATTGGGGGCTACTCTTTGTTGTGGTGCATGGGCTTCTCATTGTGGTGGATGGGCTTCTCATTGTGGTGGCTTCTCTTGTTGCGGAGCACGGTCTCTAGGCGTGTGGGCTTCAGTAGTTGTGGCTCGCGCACTCTAGAGTGCAGGCTCAGTAGTTGTGGCGCCCGGGCTCAGTTGCTCCGCGGCATGTGGGATCTTCCTGGGCCACGGCTCGAACCGGGTCCCCTGCATTGGCAGGCGGATTCTTAACCACTGCACCACCAGGGAAGTCCCTAAATCTGTGCTTTATTCATTATGTTTTTTTCAAGAAACATCACAAGACAAGACATCACAAGCTTACCAAGAGCTAACAGTTCAGTTGGGTATTTCAAGTTTACTTGGTGAAATTGGGAAAAGTTTTCAAATACAGTACCTAAGCCAAAATACTCTTGGGGGTATGGGAATTCGAGGGAGCTTGGAAACACACTTACTGAGTGACCTCGTCAGACTGGCTATGTGAAGAGGAAAAATCTGATTCCCCCATTGTCTGACTTGATTTCCTTTTTTCCTTTGCCTGAGCCAATGAGATGATATGCTGTGAGTCACCAGAGTGAGGAGTATGAGCTACTCCAGAAATGACAATGCCAAGGAGAAGGTGAATTACAGAAAGTAAAGTATTCATTGCCTTTGGCTTACCGTTCCTTGAGTCTGTTGAAAAGCAAAATAGCTGGGGCCTTTGGGCTACCTTGGTTTTTTGGTTTCTTTTTAAAAGCTGACTCTCTTCATAGGATAGTTGGGCTCTGTATCAGGTTTGCACCAAAAACTGAAATATCACTCCTCTAGGAGGAAGATATTTTTGAAAATTGGAATTGTATATTTCAGTGTAAAATTCAGAATTTAGTTTGTAACTCCTTGGAGAGAAAGATTTGAACAATACATTACCTCCTTGTATATTATTGGCCATAGTTAACTAAAAAGTGATAAATAGACATTTAATGCAGTCTCTTTTTCTGATACTAGTTAGTGGGAGAATTAAGAGATCTGGGTCACATTTCCTTTTGTGTTGAACACAGTGAAGGTTTTTTGCTTTTTAACTTAATTTATTATATCTGTTAGGTTTGTTTGTGTAAAAGTATAGGACGAAAGCTCTGCCTTTTATTATTTATTTATTTTTTTAAGAAGATGTCGGGGTAGGATCTTATTAATTAATTTATTTATTTTTGCTGTGTTGGGTCTTCGTTTCTGTGCGAGGGCTTTCTCTTGTTGTGGCAAGTGGGGGCCACTCTTCATCGCGGTGCACAGGCCTCTCACTATCACGGCCTCTCTTGTTACGGAGCACAGGCTCCAGATGCGCAGGCTCAGTAGCTGTGGCTCACGGGCCTAGTTGCTCCGCGGCATGTGGGATCCTCCCAGACCAGAGCTCGAACCCGTGTCCCCTACATTGGCAGGCAGATTCTCAACCACTGCACCACCAGGGAAGCCCCTCTTCCTTTTATTGTAATCTGAATAATCTCTCAGGGTATTTTTTCCCTGCTGAGAAGCAGTGCCATTACTGATTAATTCTTGCCAGCAATGAGAGAGAGTGGAGGGGGCATATCTTTAATTGGAACAGTTAATATAACTGCTTACACTGGGGTTTTCCTGTTTTTTATATGGAAGTTATTTCACTCTGGTGACCACTCGGGTGCTCTGTGATAGTTCACTCCAAGGTTTACTTTTCCCTGTTGACTTCATTTATTTACCATAAGATGTCTCCAATTATATTACACATTGTAAAGCCAGCTAATGAAGGCATCTGGCTTTAAATTCTTTTAAACTTTCTAATAAATCTGACACACAATACTGAAATACAGCAGCCCATAACTGATGGTCTGGTCTAACAATGTTACATATGTTTACAGGATATGCAGTTACATTTATTCATAAATCCTTTCTGTATGACCAGTGTCTTTCCATTAAGAATAACAATGGTTTTGTAGTTCACTATAGATAATTTAGAGGTGCATAGCTATTATAAAGGGAATATGTTTACAATCAGCCCATCAGAGGACTGCATCTAAATTGCGATTGTAGCTGACTGCAGTGGAGCCAGGAACTCTTTCTGGGTCGTCATATCAACCACATCTATAGTCAGACCTTACAAGGTAATATTCTAAACCTTAACCAGGCATTTCAAAACAGCAGTTAAATTCATGAGGCTCTTCTCAGTGAGCAGGTTTTAATGTTGCTTTGATGTAATTTTAAAAGGCTTTTCGCAAACGTGCATTTCCCTATGTGATACATTTCTTTTAAGCAAATATTTTAATAGTAATCCAAGGGCTGTTTAGTCTGCTTTTGGAGTAGGAATTGCATCAGATTGCGTGTCTTCTTGCTGTTCAATGATGTGATGTTGAGGAGGGTTCTTTTTTCAAATGTATGCTTAAGTATCTCTCTCTCTGAAAGTCTACATATACACTAACTTTTTGTTTGCACTTCAAAATGATTGGATTAAGTACAAAATTGAGCTGATTAATCAATTTGTAACCATTATTTTCACAAACAGCTATTCAACACTAGACAATGTTGTTTTACATGTGTGTATATGTATCCAAATACATACATATTAATCTATATTAGAAAGAGTGAAAAATAAAGGGTTTGTTTCTCCCCAAAAAGGAAGCTGTGGTATATTTTTGATCATGAGAAAAACATTAGCCCCTTGAGCTGCAGTTTCTGTGTCTGAAAAATGAGGTTAATTCTTGATGAGCCTTCAAGTCTTGAGTGCCTTGAATGCTGCTTTTCAATCTAAGACAGGGGTTTCCAAACTTTTCTGTTTCACTAAGTTTGGGGTTGGGCCTGGGAACCTGTGTTTTTAAAGTTTCCCATGTGATTCTTGTTTGGGGCCTCCTTGTCTAAAGCCCAGGCTGGATGGAAGAGGGAATAGATTGGTAGGAAGGCAGAGAAGTAAGCGACAGGATACATGAGGAAGGAGACAGCAGAGAGGACAGGAAGGGCGGATTGCTGCACACAGTGACTGCGGTCAGCTTTTCTGCCAGAGGCCCAGCAAGTGGATATTCTTTTCTCTCTACTTAGGGGAAAAATTAATTTTTGTCACATGAATAGATTTGTTTCCTTCCCAGGAATATCATAAGCCTAATTATTGTCATAGTTCTCAGTAACTTTAAAAGGGCTTTGTGGAAGAATGGCATAAAGAGACAGGTGTCTAGCACCCCGCCAGCCTGACTTTTTCTCAATACTCCCAGCTTCTTGCCTTTCTCCCAGTGAGCTCTCTCAGTCTTGGAAGCCTCAAGTTTCACTGTCTTGTATTATATTCAATCCCGCAGTTACCTTAGGGCTATGGGAAGGTGCTAGCATGATTAAAAACAATTTACCATCATGCTTTTAGCTAATCTAGTTGGCTGACCTGCCTCCTCAGTCACTGGGGTGATCATATTTATTATGCCAAACAGTGGGACCCATAGTCTGAGCATACAGGTATACTGAAGGAGTTGGTGAGACAGGATATTTGAGTCAGAACTGTCCTGGAAAATCTGGAACATAAGGCTCCATCTTTAGCACTGTTGTCTGTACTGCACAATTAGCATTTATACTATAATACACCTGTTATGTCATTTATCTTTCTATTTCTCTCTGTCTCTTTCTCAGTTGAAAGCTGCTTGAGGTCCTGAACATCTTAGGCCTCTTTGTAGTCGTAGAGCCCATGAGCATTATAAGTGTTTGTTGATGATAAGGTGGCATGTCACATGCCTTCCTTAGTACTGGATCTGCTATTCTCTCTGGCAAGACCACTAGGAGCTGCTGCAGAGGAGCTGTTGTCACCTGGAACTATTTCCAGGGCAATTTGGAGGAGGGCAGGCAGATGAAGGGGAACAATCGGTGAGCAAAACTGAGTGTGGGTTGGGAGTGGGGGCTAGGTAGTAGTGTTTGAAGGCAGATGAGAAAAGCAGACGTAATGAAGTGGCATTAAACCTTTACTCCCTTGATTTTCTACAGGAAGGCAAGGGGAGAGTCACGCCTTCTCTTTGCTTAGTAGTAGCAGGTATCCCACTAATTAGAAAATAACTTTTAAAACACTCTATTCTGGGACGTCCTTGGCAGTCCAGTGGTTAAGACTTCGCCTTCCAATGCAGGGGGTGTGGGTTCGATCCCTGGTTGGGGAGTTAAGATCCCACATGCCTTGGGCCCAAAAAACCAAAATATTCAAAAACAAAAACAAATAAACAAAAACACTCTATTCCTCTGCCACACTTGGGCTTTTGTCAGCCTCAGCAAAATTTCTGAGTGTCTGTGGTCAGTGTCATGTTTGTCTTGCTTTGTAACACTTTTTGTGTTTGCAAAAAGTCTTAACCGGCAGACCCAGAAGGAACAAAGTGAGGTGACTGGCTGCTCTAGGTTATGCTTTCTTCCCTTTGCATGTGGCTTTTCTGGGACTTATGCCCAGATTTTAAAGTCAACACATTCAAGTGCAAATGCCTACAGGTAGAAGGACAAAGAAGCTAACTGTCTGCCCATTTGGCACACATGTCTTGCCTCTATGGTGTGCAGACTATTGGCACTGAGGGGATGTACAAAAACAACAGCAAATCCAGCAATCCTTGTTCACAGGGGGTTGGCAGTCACCTTGAGGAGGTGCAAAACAGTAAATTCACTTTGTATGGTTTATGATTGTTGTTTTGACGCTCAGTATTCTGCGAGGTCAGGGAAGTATGGAGCTGAGAAGTGGAAAAGATGATAATTTGAATGAAACCCACTGGGTTAGGTAAAAGACAGAGTAGGAAGAGAAAAGAAGGAAGGAGGGAAAACCCCTCTTTAATGAATAAGCATTAAGGGGTTTTACTGAAAACATATTACCCACAAAAGGAATGTCTCTCCTAAAGTAACTCATCTAGAATAGGGATTCTTAACCTGAATTCTCGGTCCACAGGTGAACTTTAGGGACCTGTGGTTGCTCTGAAATGGCATAGGCAGCATTTTTTAAATATGTAATTGCTCTGGAGAGAGAGTTTGAAGTCTTCATCTGATTTTCAAAGGGATTTGCAACTTCAAAAGGCTAATGATTATTATATTCTGACAAATACTCTTGCTACCCATCTTCAGAAGTGCACGTCTGTGAATTTGTATCTTCAGATGAGGAGGTATTTCCATGGAAGATTAGAGACAGAAACCGTAGGATTCCTTTGTAAACAAGAAGCCTTCTACCAAACATCAAGTGTCATGGGACATACTTGAGTGTTCATGCAAAGGGCAGCATGTTCCCACGTACACAGTGGTCTAATCTGGTTCCCAGGAGTGGGGCAGCTAAAGTGCCTTTACCTGACTGGTGTGAGTAAGGCTCCAGGTCTGCCCTCAGGGACCTTATAGTCAAGTGCAGCCAATAGAGTGTGTACCTGTCTGTGATACAGAGCTAGAGCCAAGTAGGAGTTTTGGGGAGAGGGTGAGTTGGCACAGAAATCACATGCTTTTTGGAATGTCAGGATGTTTTTCAGAAACTACTAGACTGTTGGAAACAAGGTATGAAAGAGTGGAGGGAGCCCTGGGCAGGTCTGTGAACAGTGCCTAATTCAAGACCAGCTTCCCTCTGCTGCTTTGGATATGCAGACCTAAAAGACTGTCCTAGAGCTGCCGTCACTTAGCACACACGGCGAGAAATGGAAACCGTCTCTTTCAGA